GGGGCGCTAATGTCAGTACAGTTGAATGTGTCCTGGCTAGTCTTAAATTGCCATCTCTTTCCTCCATACTCAGTGTAACTGACATTTACAATGCTCCTGTTCTTAATTGCGGATAATTTGCAGTGCCATCCCCTTCTCTTCCTTTAGCCTGAATCCTTACAGTTATGATGAGACATCTCTAAGTAGCAGTGAAGATCACATCCCTCTGGCCGCCTTGCCCTTGTTGGCGATTTCTTCTCCTCAGTACCAGAATGCAGTTGCCATGGTGATCAGCAGAGCCAACCAGGTTTATAACGAATTTCTCAGATCTCCTGATGGAGCAGGCTTTAATGGGCAGGTATGACCACTCTTCTTTCTGCTGGAAAATCTAAAAGACATCATTATATCAGTACAGTGTAACTGATAAAATTTCTTTTTCATGAAAGTTATATGTTTAATTCTTTATTTCTTTAATCAGAAAATACTCCGCTGATACTAATAACAGAATAAGAAATTAAACAGTATAATCAGGCTCCTAGTCCTTGAACTTTTGCTTCAGTGTATAATTTGCTTCCTGAAGCCTTGGTATTTGGAATAGCTGGTATGAAGCTTCTGAAACTAAACTGAGAGGGAATCTAGAGACCATACTTATTTTTTCAGTTTCTGAGGGCTACAGAGGCATGGCAGTACTAGGGTGATGTCATCTGAGGGAGTAGGGTGGATTTCTCTCTCCCCCAGTTTTACTTCTTGCAAATATGAGAGCTTGGAATGCTTTCAGAAAATAGGCGTTAAGTCTGTTAAAACTTTTAACATGCCTAACTTCCTGCTTAATTGTGAAATAAAAGAAGGAAATGTCATGCCACCAAAATTTGCTGGCTCAGTCTTGGAGAATTCCAGAGACATGTAAAAGAGGGGGATTGGAGGACCACTTGTGGCTACTCATTTGTTTTTTTTTAAAGTTATCCCATGCTTATCCCACCTTTCAACCAACAAATGAACCTCAAATGGAAACTGTAGAACATGTGATACCGAAGAGTAGAGAGGACAGAAGAAAAAAATCACCAATTCTTAAAGATAAATGGTTATTTTATGACCAGATAGATGCAATTCAGGAAGAGAGGGGGAGCCTGTTGGAGTGAATTTTTCAGCATCTTCTTCTGGTTAGGTAAGAATGAAGAACATTGTCTCTGGAATTCTAGCTTAAGGATTCTTACAAACTCACCCATTCTAGTCTTCTTACAACAGCAGCCCTTCCTGCCCAGCCTCACTTTAACGCAACATTTCTTCCCTCCAACGTTGATCCTCAAAAAATGCAATAAAAACATTTCCACAGACAAGATGATTATGTGGAAAAAGAGGAGATAAAATTCCACAAGGGGTCCTGCTAAGAAAAGAGAAAAACCTCCTTAACTTCCTTGAAAGCCCCATAGGGAAGAAGATACAAAATATTCGCAAAACAAAAACCAAAACCACCTCGCTCTTTTTTCTGCTCTTCTGTTTCTACGGACAAGTTAAAAGTGATGTCCTTTGCACAGTGCTGGTGCTAAATAAAGGCTTAGTAGTTGTGGTCTCTAGATTCTCCTTTTCATGCCATCCTGCTTGTCATGTCAGACTGGACTGTGGATTTAACTGGTTGAGTTCTCACAGAACTTTGGAGGAAAGCAATAGAAAAAGCAGTGTCTGGGGAACTAGAAGCAAGAGGATAAAATAGCATAATGGTTTAATGGAGGTCTGTTTCTTCAGGCTTGAGAAGGTGGTAAGAAGGTAGACCTGAACCAGTACTAGGTTCTTTTATAATAAGTAAACAACAGTTGAAGAAAGTATGTTTTCCTCCAGGAAAGTGTCTTGTGGGGAAGGATTAACCTTTCCTAGGACTGTTGCAATCCAGTGCAACTTTGGGTTGTCCCTGTAGGTGATTTTTATAGTAATGTGAACAACTTAATTTAATTTCTCTGTATTTTATGCCTAATTCATGTGCTGCTGATTATGCACAAACTCACCATATCTCTTTATTTTGTTGATTCAGCTGATATAAGTGAATGCACATATTGAAAACTTGTTTTATTATTTCCAGTATGGTAACTACAGGAAAGATTTTCTCTCTGTGAGAAGCCATAGCCTATTGTAAGCATCTTCCTTGTGTTCAAGTCTTTGCTGTGTGACTGGAGGATTTGTGATATACCTGCGATCCACCTGTGTCTGGGGTTGGGTTCTCACAACACAGCAGATAAAATTAAAATATAATTGGAAATTTTGTGATTCAAGATACTGTCAGGATGCTGTGTGAAGCAGGCAATCCTGTGAAGCCATAAAATGGTTTATTTCATTAATCATAACATGGTCTGTGAATGTAGCAACTGTATTTTGTTAATCTGAGTTGTGTGGACCCAACCAGTGCATTCCCATTCTTAACTTATAACTTACTTTGGTGCTTTTGTGTGTGCATTACATAGGGCTCGAAGTGGACTTCTCTGATTGGTCCACATTACAAACTTGGTGCTTCTTCTTGGTCTTCCAGGTGTGCCTGGTTGGGGACTGTGTGGGAGGAATGTTGGGCTTTGATGCCATTTGCTATAGCACAGGACTAGCAGATGAAAGCCAAGTCAGCAGCAGAAGAGGCAGCACCAGCAGTGTTCAGGTATGCATGGGAGGGTGTCAGAGAAGGCAGCCACTGCATACCTTGTCACCTACAATGGCAGTTTTGCTAACTGGAAAGCTGCAGAGTATTTTTTTTTTCCCCAGGTAACTCATTAGCAGACCATTCGTTCTCCCCTTATTGTGTTATAGGCTACTGTCCAAGATGGTTGGAACTACTGCCTGGAATCTCCTAACATGTTACCTGCTAACTTCCACTTTCTTGGGGATATTGATTATTCTTGTAGGCTGGTACTGTGCAAGAAAAATCAATAATCAGAAATTTTTTAATCATTCATAGGATGAAAGCTGTAGATTTTATAGCCTGCTATAACTGCAATTCTTTCTGAACATAATGCTAAAATAAAGCTAATATTTGGCAGATATTATCACTTGGTAGATAATGGAATCTCTTTTACCATGTGTGCATCAGAAAGGGGAAAAAGCATTATTAGGAGATGATATGGTTCAAGTTAAAATAATTATACCATTACATCTGTTCACAGAATTGGTACATGTGTAACTTTCCTGAAATGGATATAATGATTTTCACATACTTTGCCTGTTGATGTTTGGTTCAGCATAACAAGTTAAGATTCCATCACTGCAATGTTATGGATCCTCAAATCATACCTCAGTGGTATGTAATAGATAGTAAGATACTATCATAGATATGTGTATGGGTGTATTTGAGACCAAGAACAGATTGTAGAAATATGGCACCTTAACAGAAGAATGAATTTTAGTGCCATAATTTTGATATAAGCATGGAACATAAAAGAGCTTCTAAAAATATCCTTAGGATACCCACAAGTTCTGTGTGGCCTGCCTATAGTCCCATTTTTGGAATTCCCTGATCATACTGCTGATATTCCCTAGCAGAATGACAATTTTTGGCAGTGTGATTTTTATTTCTTTTTTAAAACAATGAAAACAGGTTTACTTCTGCTAAGGTTAATGCATCTATCTTGCACTAAATTCAGTTCTCAACCTAAACATTTTGACCCCATCAAAACATTTTAGAAGAAGAACACAATGGCAAATCTCTACTGAAGAATGCAGATGGAAAGTTTAAAAGAGCAGCTGGAAGTTGCAAAGCTAAGAACTGTTTTAGGCTTTTTGGAGAGGTGGTAAGGAATGAAGACTGCACAAAAAGGAAATTAAGAAAGCAGACTTTAATTTTACCAGCCTACAAGAATACTCCAATTTTAGAATTGAAGTAAACATACTTTTAAGAAGGGAGCAGAGATAAAATTGTTTGAAAGAGAGGATGGAAACAAATTCACAAAGTACAATGAATGGTCTTAATGCCTTGGATATTTGTGTGTTGTGGATATGGTAGAATAACTTTTGGTCTGGCCCAGCAAAGGACCCTAACACAGGTATTGTTCTGAATGCTGAAGTCACCAGACCTGGACTGCAGTCAACTGAGTCTTTAAGAAAGCTGAAAAGACCAACTGATCCTTTAGCTGCTTCCTGATGACTTTTTCTGAAATTCCAGAAATTCCAAATCCAGATGGCTTGTGGATTTGAGCAATTAATGATAAGATATCTATCAGGAGACAAAAAAGAGATGATTGTTTTTCCAAGACTGCCATAGGGTGTATTTTTCCAAATCCAAGCTACCTTTCTCAGAATTGGCAGAATTCAGCAGAATATAAAGGAATATCTATAGGAAATTTCAGATTATTAATCCTCCGCATTAAAGATTGCATCCTCTAAATGGTGTTTGATGACCTAATTGAATTTATCTTAGACATAACCTGCAAACTCCCTGTGATTTGGAAAAAGAGTACATAGGGTTATCCCTTCTAAGGGTTTAAAATCTGAATAAGAGATGGTGAATGGATTTAGGGGGGAAAAAGATGAATGATGCAGTTTTAACAAGCTATTGCAGTGATAAACCCTACGTCCTGTGTCAACTTTGTTTAAAAATTTCTTTTTGTCATACACTCTGCTATATTTTTTCCTCCACATGCTTTTAAAAATTTGTGAACAAATTTGTGGTACACAAAAAGCTACAAGTTTCAGAATTTATATGGAATGACATGACAGTGAAATGGTACAAAACTCCTATGATCTTACTGTATAGGTGCACTGTGCATAGCAGCCTTGTTTTTCCTTTGTTGTCCAAAAGCCCTGTATTTTGCCACTGTCAGGTTCAGACCAAGAAACTCAGTGGGATGATCCAGGAACAGTTCAGTTACTTTATTAGCTTACACCTACTAGACAGAATCTCGCCAGACTCACTCTAACCCCCATCAACAGCAACTAAACACTCTGAATTCCTTAGGGTGGTGCCCGTCTCATCCTCTGAGTTTTCACATGCTCAGGCTGTGGGCTGAGGAGATGCTTGAGATTCTTCTCCCCCCCCCCCATGATCTTGGACCTCCTCACTCAAGTCTTCCATCACAGCCACAGATTTATCTTAGTTTTTAATGGCAGCATGTTGTTGACTGCAGTAAACGTAGGGGATGAAAACTGTAACTGCAGTACAGCTCCTTCATGTGTCTCATCATATTAATATTCCCTTTCAATACACAAGCATAGGCATGAATTTTTCCCTTTCCCTAGGATAAACCTGTCTCAGCTGAAGTTTCAAATCTAGGAGACCTCAAGCGCCTCAGCAAAAGTAATATTGACATCTCAGGACTGATGGAGAATGAAGAGCCCAGACAACCACTGCCCCGGAAACAAAGCGACTGCTCCAGCTATGAGTGTGATAGCATAACACACCATCATGCTTTCCTGTCCAGGTAACCAAAAATCTTGCACGAAGAAAGTGTTAGTTCATGCAAGCAGGAGCAAGAACTGGCAGCAAAATGCCATGAATGACTAACAAAAAATATTACATAATGAGATGTTTAAGAATGGGGAAAAACAAAATGTATTTGCCAAGTTTTGTTGTCATTCAATCTTGTGGGAGGGAGGTTTTATTATTGTTGATTTGTTGTTATCACTTTGATTTATTTTATTGTTGCATGTATCATTTTAATTTGTAATCTGCCCAGAATTGTTTGAGTTAGGTGGGCTATAAAACAATAAAATAATTAAATATTTAAAAATCAAGAAATGAACAACTGTGATGCAGATGGAAAAAACACCAGGTGACTAAAACTATGTTAAACATGATTTCTCTCAGATAGATCAGTCAAATTTCTCTTTTGAAATGAAAAGGTCTTAGCTGCTTCTTCTAAGGAATGAAACTAAGTAGGTATGATCAGTGCAAGGCATCTTGCTTCCTGAGACAAAGGACAATATGATGCCCTCTCCTGTTCCATGCATAATAAGCAGTCTGACCAGGCAGGAGTTAAATCTTGCTTCAATCCTGGCAATAGGACAGCCTCTTCCATCTCAAAAGAACATAATAGACTGGTTTGGGATCCCAGGACAAGCTGTCTAACATGTACAACTTGTCATAAATGCTGCAATGGGGTGGTAGCGCATCATGTAAACAAAGTAATAAATAGATAGTATCTGGTAGGCTGTACAGCCTGGGCTGGCTATTTATCTGCCTTCTCACCCAGGTTGCCAAAGAGAGCTTTTGAAGAACACAAGTGTAGCAGGATCTACCCTGGAGCCCTTTCTATGTATGAAGCACCATGATGGGAGTAGGTTTTCCAATTACTTCTCAGCAGATACATGACAGATAGTATAGCACAATATTGTGGTGTTTTATAAATTATACACAAGGCACAAACCTCATAACTGAGGGAAAAATAGGAGGTGTTAGAAAGTCTATAGGTTTTTAGTGGCCTATAATTCTGCATTCATAAACACTAGTTGCTGCCTTGTTTGTTCATCAGCTGAATTTTGTGTTTGCAAATACAAACTGTTATTTCATTCCTGTGTATTTGGGGCAGATTTAGATAAAGGAAAGGAGATTGGTCTTTTTCTTAGGACCAGTGTTTTGGAATAAACTGAGATCAGGACATCACACACCCACAAAAGTGCATAAACACAAACAAAAATATTTTGCCTACTTCCAAAATAGCATCAGTCCTAGGGCCTCCTAGAAGCTAAACTGTTCTCCTGAGTGATGACGGCAAACCTGCTTCTCTCTGTCTCTTGTGCTGAAATTTAGTCCACAAATGCAAAACACTCATTCCCATTCTTTATATGTTGATGTACTTGCCAGTATATTTACAACCCTTAAACATATTTGGTCTTTTTTTTTGTTGAATTCAGCCTCAAGTTTCAGCATTGTGGAATAGAGCCATGTTCTCTCACTCTTCTCCCTCTCTTTCCCAGCATCCACTCAACAATGTTGAATGAGGATGCAGATTTTCCCCCAGCGAACACTTCCAACATGTTGGAAGTTAATTTGGGGCGATTTGAATTTGAAGTGTCTGACTTCTTCCTCTTTGGCTCACCCCTCGGTTTGGTGCTGGCTATGCGGAGGACAGTGCTGCCCAGTCTGGAAGGTGAGTGATTGCCCATCAGCTGACAGCTGTTCTTGGCTATTTTCATCTGGTCTTTTATGTCCCCAAATAGAATGAGGGTCAGTTTGCTCAGTTTGCTTCAGGAGAGCACAAACTTCTTTGGGCACATTTTGTTTAACTGTGTAGGAAGTTCAGTGCTGTTTTTCTAAAATGCTTTTAAAAAAAGGATTTTTCCACACAAATGCTAGATCCAACATCTCAAAATCCACAAATCATCAGTTTTCAAAACAATGAGTGTCCTTCTCATGGATTGCCATGATTATGCTTTTCTTCCTACCTTTTCACACTTGTTAAAGACTAGATTTTAATTAATGGTAGCTGAGACCATTGCAAACATTGTCTACCCTATCAAAATATCTGAAATATTCCATTTTATGGATTCTTGTCATTCAAGTTGAATGTCTGTTTTAAGAGACAGCTAAATTGTATAACAAGAATCAATCCATTGCTGGTGGAAAGTCATTCACCAGTGGACCAACATGTGCTTTAAACACTAAAGTTGTGATCAGTTTTATTAATCAGATCTGGCAGAGCAGACATTTGCTGTAAAATGCCAGGCATGCTACAGCAATTAATACCATTGGATTGTGCTTTGTTAGCTCTGGGGAGATTCTAATCTGGTTTTTAAAGCTCAGCTTCCTATCTAGTTACTATAACAGCTTTGAGTAGTGATGGAACACCAGATAGGCAGGTGCTGGAATTGTCTCTTTGTGATTATTGAGTAATAACAGCCTTGTCTTGCAAAGCCAATCCAGGCCAGGAAAAAATTGTTTTTGGAACAAAAAAGGGATATTAGGGAATGATAAAGATTTTTTTCAAGGTCTAGTTCAGCTAGTTTGCATGTTTTACTATATCTTCATTGTTAGATGTATGTATGTGTAATTGCCTAAACTATATTTTAATGTTGTACATCACCAGGAGATGCATTGAATGACAAGTATTAACCAAATAATACCAGCCCATTTATTACATCTCCTTTCGCTGGCCAGCTATCTTGGAAAAACAAGAAACAAGGAGGCCCAGGTTAAAATTTGTGACTTGTTGTTTTTCTTGGAGCAGGTCTAAAAAACTGGAAGAAAATTTTCACCTGTACCATAATCTTCCATTCAAATTGAGTAGCAATTCAAAGAGAGGATTACAGGATGGAGAAAGTATCCACTTTCTCTGGAAGGAGAAAAAGTGGGAAGTTGGGGTCATCTGATGTTGATGAAATGCTCCAAGTCACCTGAATATAGGACCCAATTTAGGAGAGAAACTATAGCTCAGTGCCAGGGCAGTGCCTGTTTTGTATTCAGGTTCTGTTTTTTGCTTTTGGCATCTCCATGTAAAAAAGTCAGTGTTACAGCAACTCCCCACTGATGAAAAGAGAACTGAAACAGATGGATAAATAGCCTCTGTGTTGTCAGTGAGAAGAAGAGAGAGGCGACTAGAAGAATATAATTCTGGCTAATCCAGACAACCATCAGATGGAGGCAAAAAGATACACTTTGCTGCTGTCTGGTGGACAGTTAGATCTTTTGCAGCTCAGATCTAGTAGCTCTAATGTAACAGCAGGTTACCTCTTGAACTGGAGGTGTGATGGAATGGCAAGGGAAAAGACACCTCCCTGAATCACCAGAAGATTGTTGAGGCTTTGTAGATAGTAAACATCTTCCATCTTGAGCATCAGGTTTAGTCCCTTCCCTCTTCATCCATCCATCCATCCATCCATCCATCCATCCATCCATCCATCTCTCATTCTCCCTGCACATACACACCCAGCCATCACTAAACAAGAGAATAAATAATATGAAATGCAGATGTATGATATCTCTGCCAGATAATAGTCATGATCATCCAGGCATGGGTTGACACTGACAGGAAAGGGGTGATACTTAATAATGTTTTAAAGGTTTTTTTGAAAGCAACTGGTTGTTCTTGGCCTCTATCCTATTCAAAGGGCATGAACATTTGCTTCAGTTTCATATTGAATCCCAAAACCTATTAATTATTAATTCACTTTGACTTTCATTCACAGGAAGAACTAACCAGGCAAATATAACTGTTCCTAACATTTCACAAAGCTGCTGCAAACCAGTGGGACAACAAAAGGTTGTGGGACCTGGATTCACTGACCAACTAACTTAAACCCAATTGATTTCAGTGAGCCAATTCTAGGCATGATTAAATCTCCATCCATCCATCCATCCATCCATCCATCCATCCATCCATCCATCCATCCATCCCTCATTCTCCCTGCACATACACACCCAGCCATCACTAAACAAGAGAATAAATAATATGAAATGCAGATGTATGAGCACAAATAAATCATTATTCTGCAAAGAAGAGCACTAATTTCTTCTGAAGCTACAATTGCCATTGATTATCTCACTCTGTTCCATCCACAAAGTGTTGGTGTTCTCCTCTCTTCTTTTCCTCATGGTAAACACATACTTCTGCTTCGCTTGTAATATTTTAATGCCACCTTTCTTCTGAGTAAACATGTTTATGATTGGGCTATAAGTTGTTGCTGCCTTTCAAAATTCTGTTACTATAGCGTAAATCAATAAAAACGAGTTCCAGTATTTTTGTGGAATTCATTTCCGTAACCTGGCCTACCTTGAAAGGCTGACAGTGTTTTCCCTTCTCTCTTATACCAAAGAGAGTCAAGGAAGGGTCACTTTACCTTTGTTGTAGCACCTTCTTCCTTTTCCAGCAGGTTTAATATACGTTTTGCTAACTGCCCTTGCATATCTTCTTTAAGATCATATATGTGGTTCTCTGTGCTGCCAAATGTCTGATAAAGCAATGCCCATTCCTCACACTCACACATGCTCAGAACTGCACCAAACTTTAGCCATGTATCCTCTAGAAACATCCTTCTAGGACCAGTTTGATATTATCATATCTAAAATCAATGCTACAAATCCCTGAATCGGGAATCCTGATTCTCAAGAGAGACAGTAATGGATTCAGACTGCTGTGTGGCTAAAGGCCCCTCACCCAGGCTGAAATTCTGCCAAGCTGCAGGAAGTACAGCTGAGTAGGGATTCAGGCCCAATGGTGTAGTACATGCAACTGAGAAATAGATCTCATAATTAGATATTTGCTCAGAAGTGAGGTCCTGTTTATAAGGAATTCCTTCTTAGATGTTGAAAAGTTGGTAACCAAAAGTGGTCCAGGGAAGTCTTGATTCTTAGTAGCTGTTACTGGAATATTGTCGAAATATTGGACACTGAACTAATTTCCTTCCTTCCTTCCTTCCTTCCTTCCTTCCTTCCTTCCTTCCTTCCTTCCTTCCTTCCTTCCTTCCTATCTATATTGGAAGTTCTGCCTTTGACTATCACTAGAAACAAAAATTCTTTGAACTCACTCCATTTGCATTCTGCATCAGGATTTTGGTTTGACTTTTGCTCCTGCTTATAGCAAAACATGAGTTGCTTGCTGTCATTCAGCTTCTTGAACCACCAAGCAAAAACCACTTGATGGCTTGATTCATCCTACATCAGGAACTCTCTGGGTTTCAGTGGTCTGGCTATGTACCTTTTTTTGCTGGTGCTCAATGCCTATAGTATTAGAGCATATGAAGCCTCTGCAGAAGGTATCCTGTGACAACTTTCTTCTTCAGCTTTGCCTCTGTCTCCCACTGCTCTTCAAACACTTTTCAGCCCGAGGATTCCTGACTGATAGAACAACTGCTTCTTGTAATTTAGGGACAAAGAGGGGAATAAACAATCTGGCTTAGAAGAGGTCAGAAAAAAGACTAAATACAGTAGTGATTTCAAGTAGCTAGCTGTCATTCCATTGCCCACCTCCAGATGTTGCCTAACTGTGCAGAAAATTATTATTTTCAAACATTTTTCTATAAATTAAAAGACAGCTTTCATTGTTTGTTATCACATGGATTCCAGTAAAAATGCACTTGGCCTTCTTTTCTTATTTTGTAAAGTAGACTTAACAGAAGTAAAGCGGAGTTAAGCACAGTTTCACTATTCAGCTTTTAAAAGATTCAAAGTGTTTTTTTTAATGGGGCTAGAAGAAGACTGCAACTAAATTTACTTCTAAATAAATATAATTAGCAATTAGATATTAGTCCTCTTGATTTCCCCTAAAATAGCTAGTCCCTTGTCTAAGCAATTTCTTAATTGGATTTTATCAAACAACTCCAGTTTTATCAGTTTCACAGGATAGATAGGAAACTTGCCAGCTTGATTTTCTTGCTGATTATTTGGCTCTAAAACTTGCCTTTTAACAGAGATTCAGCATCCCTCCTCCATACTGAGGTCTCTTAGTAATCCCATTTTTTAAAAAATCCAATATTTTCATTTTGTTATTGTGTAAATGAACAATCACTTATTTTACAAAAAGACTATAGCATAATAAAGTATGTTGATTAAGTAGTTAATATCAGCAGGATATGAGGGAGGTAGAACAATTCCTTTACTCTAAAAAAGAACAAACATTGTTCAGGAAACAATTAAGGTTGTTAAGAACTCTAGAGAGAATTAGAAACCTAAGCTGCTCAAAATGCCTTCCATTTATCCTGTTACAAAGAAAAGTTTTAAAAGGTAAACCATAAGGAGACCAGGGTTTTAGCCCCTTGCCCTATGAGATGAACCAGCTGTGCAACCATAGAAATGCAAGTCAAAGGATAGAAAAAGGAGAATCGTACTTTCTACCTACCTTCTCCAAGGATGTGCCCTGTTTCTTTAACTACATGGCTCCCTATCCCCAACTTCACAATTATTATGCTGCTACTCTGCAATTGTTTTCTTATTCCTTACCCAGTTATCTGGGTAACAAAAAAGGAGGAAAAAAAGAAAGACTGGAGCTGGACAACAACATTGTTTCTCATCTCTATAAAATTGTATAAAGGGGACATGATGATTCCATCTTAAACGCTTTGACTAGAAATGTGGTTGAAGTCCTCCATAACTAGCTTATCCTCATTTGATGGTATATTTCTTCCCAAGTCTTTGCCCTTTCTCTACTGCATTTGGGGTGATTTCATTCTTAGGCTGGGTCCATACATTGCACTAACCACAGTTTACTGAATAAACCATGTTTAATTAAAACTGCACAGTTTTTGTACCAGTCCTCATCTTCCATTAACAAACAGTTTCAAGCCAGACTTTTTTTAGCCTTCTAAGTCTTGGAATGAGACAGGGGAGGTGGAAATTCTCAACCTCTGGATATTAAATTCTCCACTAAGCACATGCTTACACAACCACATAAAAAGGGTTCTTGGTTCTTCCTATTTGCATAATCAAAAATTATAATAAAAAAGAATAACAAAACAAGTCTAAGAAAGTTTTCTAATTGAATCTCTTTGGAGTGCAATCTGGTGCTGCTACCAGACTGTTATTGGGAAGTGAGGACAGGGACAGCTGCCTCCCATTGACTTTCCAAATGAATTGGAAAAAGGTCCAAATGTGTTTTATTTAACTGTCTGTTCTCTGAAATTCTGTAGCAAGCTCTTAAACTGCAGACTGCTAGTGCAGACATCACAAAAAACTGTGACTGAATAAACCAATATTACAATTCTGCTTCCATAATTTTGTTGAACTGGGATTTGAATGGGACCATTATGTGTTTTGTGAATTGCAGCATATATTTTTAAGAGGAAGCGTAGATATAGATATAGATATAGATGTAGTTATATATTGAAGTAAAGGTACAATAAATGGAAAGTCACCTTGTTCAAATAATGTATGAAGTGTGGCTTTTAGTGAAATCTTATTTGGTATGTGTTCTAAACACTACACTCACCAAACTTTGTCCACTCAGGCACACGCTTTCTGTGAAATCCAGCATATCACAAGTGGCTTCTTTGGGTATACTGGTCTCTGATTTAAAAGATTTTTTAAAATCTTAAGAAGAAAAGGTTTGATCCTGTGATGGTTTGCTAAAGTGACTGAATGCAGAGGCTATTCTTTAAAAAACCTAATTGTATTGTTTATGGGAAAGAAGAACACAGAAACCTCTTAACAGTTCGAAGTGGATAGTACTTATGTCCACTAATAAATAATATATTTGCCTAAAGTGTAGGGGTGGGGTGGAGGGGAGTAGATAGCTCAGAACTGACTCCATTGTTTCCAAAGTACTTGACTCTTCCATGGAAATTTAATCTCTTTGGAAATTTAATGACAAGTCCATAACTGCTTGTATTTTCTTTTTGTACTCTGAAGAGATATTTAAACAGTTCATGTTGACTGTGAGGCATCCTCTCTCCCTGTGTCTAGTCTGCCAAGTACATCCAGCCTGCAGCCAAGTTTACAGCCTCTTCCACTCAGCTGACCCTTCTGCCTCCAGACTGGAACCATTATTAGAGAATAAATTCCATCTTCTGCCTCCCTGTACTGTACCAAGGTACCAGAGATATCCCTTAGGAGATGGAAGATCCCACCTTTTAGGTATTTATATCTTTGGCTTATACAGTTCACAACCTATTATAGCCATGTAGCCTCTCTTCCAAGTACTTTTGCATGCCTCAGCCTTCTAGAAAATTATGTAAAATGATCTGTATAGAGATGAATGAATAATAACTCTCTGCCAAGAATCAGCTTATGCTGTCTTTGGAGCTGCAAGGTACTCTCTCATGGTTTGCTTTGACATCACAGTTTTTTTTTTCCAATCCGTGCACCCTTATCATCCAAGCTGTCGACGTATTAGAGACCTCTTCTCTAACCCATTGTCTTCCAGATGTGTTGGACTTTAATTCCCATCATACCCTAGCTAATAGGATCAGGGATGAGCAACTCAGGCCATGGAATGCAAGTGCCCTCCTCCAGTCACTTGTAGCTTTTGTATTCCACCAAGGTTATGTTTTGTAGCCCTTGTATCCCAAAAGTATGGTACCAAAGTCCAGTTGTTATTGTTTTAATAAGGAAGAGAGTGTTTCAGACTCCCTCTTAATTGGCTTGCCTTTCTGAAATCTGTGTGGTTCTTCCTTCCTGGGCTTGCCTATATATCTGTGCCCATTAAAAAAAAATTAAATGGCTGAAATATCAAATAAGATAGGAGAAAATTACCTAAAAGGCTTCATAGCACTTAATAATCCTTCCATCCCCAAATGCTTATGCTGATAAATACATCTGGTACTATTTTTCAGTACCAAAAACGTTGCAAAAACTTTCTTCCTGTCTGATTCAGCTCTTTTCCACCTTGCAGCTGATACACTCCACTACCATAGCAGCCTGTTTGCTGAAGACAATTCTGGAAAGTCATCCTTCGTACAAGAGACTTTAGCACTCCCAAATGCTGTGCAAGGGAAAGTGCGAAGAGGGAGCATGGCCAGCAGCAACAGTGAGAGCTCTGGGTCAACGGAGAGCTTATTGTCCAGCAACATAGCAAACAGTGAGTGCAGTTAGTGGTTAACACTAAAAATGACTTTTATATATGGACATGTGGCGCAGAAACAATCTGGTAAAATGCAACAGCACTGTAGTTACATAGCCAGTTTAAAAAATCCAGTCTTTTGTAGGTTATCATTCTCAAGAAATGAAATGATGACACAAGTGTGTCACTTTAAGACTATAAAGGCCTGCTAGTCTAGCCTTCACTTTCCACAGTGTTAACTCACACGAGCAAAGCCTGAATGCAAGCAAACCTCCTGCTGCATTCTCCCAAAACTGGTATTGAGATGTATGGTTCCTCTAATAGTGGAAGCATTATATTTGCCTAAAGCATAGGCATATAACTATATAAGATAGATGGATGGATGGATGGCCGGCCATTCATTTTGGACTACTAGTTACTGGTAGCTTTCTCCTTGTGAAGTCTTGCCTGGTTTGGCTTGGCTTACCATTGGCAATTTGGTGAAATAACTCAAGAAAAGCCTTTGTCAACAGCTACACCTAGCTTTTGCCCCTGGACCTCTCTTTTGAGAAGTTCACTCTGCTCCCTCCTGCTGACATTTCCACATCCATTTATTGTGGGTTTGTTTCAGAGATAAGCAGTAGCCTGTTTTGTTTTGGCTTTTAGGCATAGCTGGACAGCCATATTACAGTGCTGTCTTCCAGTGTGTGAGTTAGCAGAAGAGAATGCCCTCACTGCCGATCACTGTTCTGCCTCATTAATAAAGCAAGTGATTGGTGCTGTCTTTACATTTTTAATATGGGATAAGAAACTGATTGGTGGATCCCTTGGGCTCCATTTTCCCTCCCACCAAGTGTCACCTGCCAGCATGAAAACTAACTACTAACCACTCTCCTGGTGGGTTAAGGATGGGTGAGTATAGGGGGATGTTTAGAATGTCTGATTTAGCTACTCAGGTTGCCCAACCAATTTATAGGTTATAGGCATTTAACTGTAGCATAAACATAACCCAGCAGGGTTTTTTTTTTTTTTGCTACATCCTCATGATGTTGCCTTCATCTGATCTCCAGCCCATACCTGAGGCAGCCTTAAGTCTTTAGCTCTGCCAGTGTTTGAACAGTATTTTCCCAATGAACTGCAAAACAAATTTTACAGTCCGATACAGTTCACCAACCATTAACCATTCTGTTAGTGGTGCAGTCAGGTGATGTGGTGCATTTCTTGGGCACTTTAGGCAAATGAGGGCATGTGTCCTGCTCTGTGGATTTTAGGCACTGTCTTCCAGTGCCATTCTAATTTGGGTAGAGGAATGAGGAGTCTGGTTCTTTTAATCTGACCTCTCCCCCATACCTAACCCATGTCTCCAAGCCAGTCCACAGCAGCTGCTCTGTGGATTTTAGGCACTGTCTTCCAGTGCCATTCTAATTTGGGTAGAGGAATGAGGAGTCTGGTTCTTTTAATCTGACCTCTCCCCCATACCTAACCCATGTCTCCAAGCCAGTCCACAGCAGCTGCTCTGTGGATTTTAGGCACTGTCTTCCAGAGCCATTCTAATTTGGGTAGAGGAATGAGGAGTCTGGTTCTTTTAATCTGACCTCTCCCCCATACCTAACCCATGTCTCCAAGCCAGTCCACAGCAGCTGCTCTGTGGATTTTAGGCACTGTCTTCCAGAGCCATTCTAATTTGGGTAGAGGAATGAGGAGTCTGGTTCTTTTAATCTGACCTCTCCCCCATACCTAACAGGTCTCCAAGCCAGTCCACAGCAGCTGATCTGTGGATTTTAGGCACTGTCTTCCAGGGCCATTCTAATTTGGGTAGAGGAATGAGGAGTCTGGTTCTTTTAATCTGACCTCTCCCCCATACCTAACAGGTCTCCAAGCCAGTCCACAGCAGCTGATCTGTGGATTTTAGGCACTGTCTTCCAGGGCCATTCTAATTTGGGTAGAGGAATGAGGAGTCTGGTTCTTTTAATCTGACCTCTCCCCCATACCTAACAGGTCTCCAAGCCAGTCCACAGCAGCTGACAAATGATGGTGGCAGAGGGATTGCGTAGTGAAGCAGGGGAGGGAGGGGGAGAGAGAGAGAGAGAGAGAGCATTCTCTCTGCTGCTTCATGGCATAGCTCTCCATGTGACTATGTGCTGTTATTCTAGTTGCCTTTGAACATATCTTTAGCATTCTTCTAAAATAGTGCTAAACCCATGACCAAAAAGAGTCCAGCTGTCACTTGATACCAGTTCATAGTCAGGTGCCCTTTGAATGCACCCATGCAAAATACTTGTACAAATCTCCACCAGTTTAGCTATTTTTCAAAACTTGCCTGTCCCCAGCTCTAGCCCCATATTAGTTGTTGCTGGTGTTATTCTCTGGTAGGATCTGGGAAGCTTCCATGATGTGGAGTAGACAAATGAAATACCTGTTTGTTTTTCTGCAGTAACTTCCAAATGGTGGGGAGCCAAGCGAATAGATTACGTTTTGTACTGTCCAGATGTTCTCACAGCCTTTCCTACAGTGGCTTTGCCACATCTCTTCCATGCCAGCTACTGGGAATCAACAGATGTGGTTGCTTTCATTCTGAGACAGGTAACGATGCCTTCCTTGTATGCTCTCCCTCTTTCTCTCTCTATCTGTGGATCCAAATAGAATTCACATCTGTACTTGGCAACAAAACTGAATTGATGGCCTTGCAGGAAATCCCAGCCTCACTTAACTAATGTGGTTGCTATGTGGATAAAATTGGCAAGCCACTCTTTCAGTGTAAGATGATATGCAAATGCAGTTAAATTAATGAAATGCCAAAAAGATCTATGCAAACATCCCCAGTGGATATGAACTTGTTGCTAGCAGTAAGTTGTTGTTCTAAACCTGCAGCATACGGAGATTCGTTTGTGCCATTATTTTGAATTTAATTTAGCAGAGTGACTGTGTCAGGTGCAGTTCTCATGTTTATGTTTCATTTCAGGTGATGAGGTTTGAAACCATCAATGTCAAGGAAAGCAACAGTTTGGATCCAGTGACTCTCAGTCCTTCAAATCCCAGAGAGAAATGGCTACGGAAAAGAACCCAAGTCAAACTGAGGGTACAGGATTGGTTTTTATCCAACCCCTCTATAACTGACCATGTGTCATAAAAAGATCTGAAGCCTTGCTGGAAACCATTTTAAATCAGTTTTTAAAAGGGAAAAGCAATTAGCAGCAGTGGTGACTCCATCAAAATGGGTTGATGTGTTTCTGGGGCCCCTGGTTTGTTTTGTTTTGTTTTGATTGTTTTAAGGCAGGCTACCTGTGGGGTTGTATGTTTTTAACTGCTTTTCACAGCCAGGTACTTTCTCAAGGGTGGAATATGTGGCAGGGAAGCCAGAAGGACTTCTGATCAGCCTATCTTGTTTAAAATATAAATGCAGCAATCAAGGCCTGAGATTTGTGCATACGAACTTCAGTGGAATTTTAATTTTTCAAAGGTCTAGTTGAGGAAAGAGCCAGTTTGGTCTAGTGCAGTGTTGTCCAAACTTGGCCATTTTAAGATGAGTGGACTTCAACTCCCAGAAT